ACTCTCCAGGCTGAGGGGTATACCCTGTAAGCAAGAGATCTGGCAAACGGTATGCCATACACAAATCATCATCAAGGTGGTCAGTTGCATCCAGGTGGCCACGACCGGTAATCTTGAGCCTCTGTGCATTCAGATCACGGTAAGGTTGCAACTGAGGAACCACAAGGTTGTTTGTAGGGACTTCAACTCCAGGAAACATCCTCCCGTACGGCCCAGACGCTCCAAGGTAGGTGAGCTGCTCAGAAAGCTCACCAAGACGTGCAACTAATTGTGGAAACTTTCGACCACTGACCAGAATCTCAAAGGACCCAGAAGCAGGGCCGTCGGCCGCCAAAATGCCCTTCATCCTTTTGTAGATCAGCACATGAGCTTTTGAAGGGCGCCTCGTTAACAGGCCATCGTTGGGAAAGGCTCCCAAACCTCCATGCCAATAGTTCAAGGCCATCACCAAAATGTGTACAGCCCTCAACATGTGAAGTCGCCTTCGAGCACGAAGAGACAGCCCAGACGGCATCCTGTCAAAAATGCCACACCAAGGCACAGGTACAGGGAAAAGCGGCGATGCCGAGGCGGAATCACCTCGTTGCAGATGTAGAGTGGACAACAAAAATGCGGCAAAAGGAGTTCGAGACCGTAGCACCATTTTTAGCAGGCCAGAACACCAAAGCCAAAAAGATAGAGCCCGAGGAACTTTTGCAGAAGAGTGTAGTTTGAAGTTACCTTCCTCTGTGTCAAGGACCTCCTTGGGGACATTCTCATAGTCAAGTTTTGACTTACCATGAATTCTATCAGGATCCGGTGGAAAGCTCCCTCCCAACACTTCCAGGTCCTTGATGTAACTCAAAGTCGTGGCTGTCCAAGCAGGGGGGAATCAACGGGCTGAAAGGCCTGCTGGTCGTCGACACCTGCACGGAGCGTTCCTGAAACAGCTGTATAGGAGGATCTTCGTGTAGGCTCACGAGGTATGCCACAGCCCAATCCCCATTGTCGTAATTTGCTTGTTCGACCGACATGGCAAGCAAAGCAACAATCTCCTTCATCCCAGCAAAATCGTCTTGGGCCGCAGCATCGATCGCATGAGCTAGGATCCACTGTATGAGCCCGAGGGTCTTTTGGTTTTTGTACCCTCCGGACTTCTCCAAATACTCCACCATTGAAACATTGCCCAGCTCCTGCTCGGTTCGAGGAAGCGCTCGACCTGGATGGAGTTTCTTGTGCACTTGCTGCATCATCAGGAGGAAGAAATTGCCGCTGCGAGACGCCAGCTCTGCTTGCAGCTTCTCGTGTCTCTGGACTCCTTTCATGCTTGAGGAGCTCATAAAGCCGGATTGTAGTTCTAGCATCGGATCTCCTCCGTGCTGAGTCATATGAGCCACCAAAGCTGTCAAGGCGGTGCTCTGTTGAGAAAGAGCATTGATGATAGTCCCTGGGTCGTGCGCAGCATTGCCTGAGCTTCCAACAAGCAGCGCATCTGGCTCCTCCGGGTTTTGGGGCTTGGCATGCTTTGACGAAGGTGAGGTTGTCTGTCCCATTCTTGTCCTGGGCGGAGGTCCACCAACTGTAAAGCCTTTGCTACCGTAAGAGAAGGGCCCTCCACGGAATCGAGCCCTGCGGACAAGTCCGGAAGCTTGTTGATGTTGCCACCACCTCGCCCTCCAACACTTTGAAACCCCTGCAGCCATAGCTTGGCCCTGCGACCCCTCCAACAAATCTTGGCGTGCCGACAGAACCTGGATTTGCGTTGTGAGTGCACTGAGCTGCTCCATGAGGACCGCATTTGTGACCCGCTTCGGGGCCGCAGTTGACTTCCTCTGACCAGCCTTTGCTTTGACAGCCACCTCCGGGTCCTCTAGAGCCGAATAAAAAGCTGCCATCTGATCCGACCTTTCCTGAAGCCATTCTTTGACACGCTTCAAGAGAACATCAATTTGGGGAATGCACGAAGTATTGTCCGGGTGGTACGGGACGATCTCAATGTCTGAATCCGTACCAGGGTCAAAAACTCTGGCAAAATTCAGGAACTCATCACTGACGTCAATGACCATCACCGGGCCACTAATACCAAGAGGAACCATGGCGCCATCGTCCCCTTCCTCAATCAACGGAACGTCAAATGGTGAGCCTATGCCGAGCCAGGATGGTGCAAGCTCCAACGCAGACCCTTCCGCCACAAAAGATTCATCCAACACCCCATAAGGAATACCTGCAAGAAAACCGCCTCCACGAGCAATGAGAGGCAGCACAAAAAGCTCTGTCACTGATTCCACCACTGGAGGAGTAAGGGTGGCCACCATCAAGGAAAAATCCACCCGGTCCCCAGCGCACTTCAATTCTGTCCTTTGCATTGGTACAGGGGAGGGACCCCTACACCGTAGCTGGCGCAGCACACTTGAACCTCCGTAATCGACGCAAAGCCCTGGTAGACAGCAGGATCACTTTGAGGAGCTTGAGAAGCGAGCAAAAACCTCAAATCTGTAATCTTGCGAACCCTCACTGGAGCTGAAAACCGGGAGTGACGAAAAATCAGCCACTGAGTGTCTGAGACTGAGATGGCCTCTGCCTGCTTGTATTCAGAATGGGTAGCCACTGCCGCCCAACACCAAAAACCAGCACGCCAAGCTCGAGTGATTCTCTCTTTGGGGTCACCTGCAGCGTTGGATAATCGAGGAGCTGCTGAGATGAAAAGGTGCTCGGGTACCGGTTGTGGCCCGTCCTCAAAGACCCTCAAGCGGTCAATCTCAACAAGGTAGGGCTGATCTGCTCCTGGCTCCACAAATTCCCACCCAGCAATGGAAATGACAGGACTGCTAGATGACGGAGACGAGGTAATCAATGATGCACCACGCTCTAAAGCAATGCTCAAGCGGTTCACAGCAGAAATCAACAAGTTGATGTCCTCCTTTGTGACACTAGAGCTCATCCACTAGTCGACGTAGGCTGCCAGCCGGGCTTGTCGCTCCACCTCCGCCGGCCTCTTTGGAACCACCTCCAGCCGAGTGAAGTCAAACGGGGGATGCCGACCCCTGTGAAGAAGAGGAGTGAGGTAGATGAGGGCCGCAAGAAAGAGAGCAAGGGCCAGAATGAGGCCTAATGAAAGGCCAGCGACGAACCAAGGCAGACAGGAGCCGCTGCAGTGAAAAGGACAGGAAGCACGGGTGGATAAGTCAAAGACAGCAGAAGCAGCCTCTACCCACCAACTAAATCCTGAAACCATGCGCTTGAGAGGAAGGTCCGGAAAACGCTCATCTTTACAGAAACATATATATATATATCAATATAGTTGTTGGGGCCCTGAAGTGAGTAGATCATCGGCAATCCTCCAATAATACAAAAGCCTTCCCAACTGCTGAGAGAGTTTGATTGGATGACATGCAGGCTTGAATGACATGCCGGGAACTCTGCCCCGCATTTTTTTGCGGGGCTTCAGTGTTCTTCTCGGGGCTGGCCGCTGCACAGACCACCAAAGCCCTGAATGTCTCAAGGCGTTCAAAACCCAGGGAAATGAGGATGCCCAACCAGAGGAGGATTCGTCCTTGGTCCGCGCATGCCGGGGGACATGGCTCAGGTCAAAACGACCAGAAAAAAATTGGATCTGGTTGCTTGGAATCTCCCAAGCTTGGGGAAGACCAGGTTCCCACACACCCACCGGTGACCCTAAGCCCAGGAACTTTCCAGCATAAAACGTCGAGAACTCCTCCCAGGTGTACCTGGAGAAGAACGATGCAACACGAAGACCGCACACCCGTCTCGGTATTTCTCACAAGACGACACAGCGGAGCTAGGGTTCTGGGAAGCACAGTGGAATGACTTACACCAAGTCACTAAGTGTTTGGAATACCTGCCTTTTCTATTGGGATAACACATCCCACTTTTGACTTTTTGACACAGAAATATAGGTGCTTCAAAACGCTTCGCTTCGTGCCTTGTATTGTATACAGTTGTGGCGGAAGCCAAGAGGCAAATGACACCAGTTCCAGCTGTTGCTGCATCAAATTTGCAGGAGTACAAGCCGACAGGAGCCTAGGCCTAGTTACGGACAAAACAACAATAGGGGAAGAGAAAACCGAACCACACGAAGAAGGCCTGGAACAACAAATGAAAAGAACGATAAAAGGAAAGGGAATGAATAGGCACGAAAAGACGAAGACGAGAACAAATCACTCTCCCCTGTTGGTTCTTTGTTAGCTGGAAACTACCACAGCCAGATTGCACAGGTCCATGCCCATGGTTAGCAAGTGCGTTTGCTATCTGTTTAGTACCCGCGAAAAAAAGAATACGTCTCATGCAGCCCATACCAAAAACCGAGCACATGCCGCACATGCCCTCCTTTTCGGGACTGCAGTTCACCCACTGGTACCAAGTTCACCCACAGAATCGGCATGCTTCGGCGTGAATCCCAGAGAAATGGCCCTCCCTCAAGAACCCGACGATTCGGACGACCGGATGACCGGTCGGGGAGTGGGACCTCGGTTTTTGGAAGCTCGGACTCTCTTGGAGCTGATCGAAAACGTCGATCAGATGCGACTCAGACCCATGGGACGCCCATGACCAAACAGCCCAAAGAAGTTCAAAAATCCATGCAGCCCAGGTCTGTTCCGGAATCCTTGGACCGGACGTCGAGCTGCCCACGTCCGCGCACGCGACACCGTCATCGGGGTCAACTCGGCGTTCGGCCATGGTCGGCGAAACCTCACACGGTGAATCACCTCACCAGTCACCATCATGCTCTTCCCAGCACCAGTCACCATGAGTTCTGAGGCGCCAGCCAAGAGAGTGCTGATGAATGATAAGCCTCGGGACAACGGCAAAGAGAGCGCCTCGTTTTGAGCCGTGTTTTGAGCCAAAGCAACGGACAGGCGCCGGCCGGCGGAAGAAAAGAACTGTTGATCCAGGAGCATCTGGCCGTCTTGGCATACGCAACACCCATACAAAACGGAAAGAAAAACATAAAATCTGCTCGTACTATACGTGTTTGCTTAATTCATGTTGTATGTCCATGCGTGCTTACTGCCTTGAATGGAGAATCGAGTCATACACATGTGTTTTCATGTGTCCCTTAGTTGCCATCGATCGCAGCTCACGGCCGAACACCCGATCCCAAAAAGCACCCGGATCTCGATCGATCGATCTCAAGAACCGCCGGGCTGTTACTCCTCGAGATGTCTTGCGGGCTGGGAAGTGACACCCACCTGGCTGGTCCAAAACGGCAAACCAACGGCAAATCTTCCCACCCAAACATGAAGAGAAGCTGGTCAGGCTCCGGGTGCCCCGCCCCAAAACACCTCGTCCATTGTCGACTCTCACCTCGCCCCACACCGATGGGCCGAACCCTTTTCGTTACGCTTCCAGCTCGGCGATTCGGCGCAGGAGCTCCGCGCGGCCTGGACCGAGTCGCGAGGGACACCGCGGAGACTCCGACGCGGTCGGTCGCGAGGGACATTGCGTCTCGTGGCTGAGAGAGTCTAAGTAGAAGGATTTCAAAAAGAACGGGTTACCTAGATGTTACAAGGCACTGGGAAAGCAGGTTTGGCGTCCGTAGTCTACCTGCGTGAGGAGGGTTGCGGGCTACACTAAGTACTTTGTGGCCTCCCTTGATCCGTTCTTTGAAGAATGTATTTATATCAGCAAAAGCAAAGCATCCTATCCTCCAAGTTGCGCTTTGGAGCTCCGTGAAAACGAAACTCAGTAAATACCTCCATGATTTACGTTGGTCAAGCCCAATCTTTTCATCCAGCTTGGCTGGGCCCAAACAAACCGATGAGTGACAAAGCAAAATAGAATAGGTCACCTCTTTTCAGTCTTAATGGATCATCCGCAAGATCTATTTATGCGCATTCACGGATGTATGCATCATATTTGTTGTGGTCCAACTGCCACTGCGACAGCATTTGTGCGATCCTTCGATTACACGTCCCTTTTCATAGAAATGGCCCACGAGACAAGGACTATTTGCCTGAGACGAACATACCGACACATCGCTTGCAAGCGAATCTCCTATGCAAACTCAATGTTCTTGTAAGAGCCGTAAACCCACCAAGAAACCCTCTTCAAGGGAGACCATGGGGAAGTCCGTGAACGACAAGGAATTTAGTAAGTTACATGCATATATTCACGGGTCATCACGATTGGTCATGCTCCTTACCTTACCTTTTCCGGCCTGTCTTTTCACGGGGTTTGTACATTTCCCGGGATTCTGTCCAAATTTCACCACTGCATTGACCATTGACCCCTGGCAGCATGGATTGTAAGGCTAGGATCTTTATGAAGCACCTAGCCTTATAGCGACATGTGCTATCAGACATACACGACCAGGTCCGAACACATCACATGGAATTACGTGGATGGCATGGAAAGCGAGTGCCGGGGGTGGTGCCATCCGACCGTCTTCACACGCTCGTTCGGGTACCAGCGACGGGGAGTGGTGAATGAGCGACAAGGCTACCACGGGTGAAACACCTCGTTGGGCCGTCTTCCCAATCCAGTTCTTGGGACAACGGCAGCGGTTCTGCCGAGATTCGGAAGGCAGCTGTTTAAATGTGAAAAAGGCAAGCGAAAACAAAGCAACCTGACACCCCAACAAGTGCACCAACACACCAAAGGCACCTCCGTCCGAAGAGCCCCTCGCCTGCAGAGATCCAGATCAAAGACCCGTTTGGGCATGGCGAATCCCTTAAGATGCAGAGTTCTTCCCAAAGGCTTCTGTTTCGAAGTCCAAAGTTAGATGGCTCCTACTCCTCAGTTTGAGGAACCAACTGAGGGGGCACCGTCCGCTCTTTCACCCCGAGCGGTTCGGACGTTCGCCCACGGCGTTTCTGTTCGGACGTTGGGTCTGAAGGGTCACGCGTCTGACACTTTTGTGGCGGAAAAAGAAAGACTCCATGAAGATCGCCATCACCTGGCACAGCACGTTCGCACCTACTTGCTATTTTAATAACTCAGGTCCAGTTTCGGCCAGTCTCAGTCAACTAAAGGGACACGGACACACAGAAAAAGAGGCCCGTGGCCGACTACGGTGAGTCAGCCTCGACCACTTCTTCTGACCATGCGCGACCCGTTCCGACCCGTTCGACCGCCACGACCGCCACGACCGCCTCGGCCAAAGCCTTCTCCAGCGCCTCCGGCCGTCGTGCATGGGAGCTCTGTCTTCATTGAAAGAGATGGACAATCAGAAACAAAGTAAAAAGATCCCCCTTAGTGATAAAATGCTGCAGATGACATCCAAAATTTTGAGCTCTATAGAATTGGGGATTGTGAGACAGAAAATCCTCTGAACCTCTATAGAATTGGGTTCTGGACCTGGAAAATAAGTAGACATTTCAAGTACAAACTCTTTTGAATTGTAGGGCACAGGGTATTTTCGAACAGTGTTTCCTTCAATGATGGGGTAGTAGGGCCTCTAGAATAGCAGGCTTTGGGTTGCAAAACCTGACTACTTTGGAAACAGGACCTCTACCAACATATTCCTGCATGAAAGTTACCACAATTCTATAGTATCTCAACATGGTCATTGACCAAGGTCACCTTCACAAATTTGTATGGAACACCTACCGTATATCCTATATCCATCTCTATCCACTGCATCCCACTCAGTTCCAACCGTCTGCAAATAGAAAATCTATAGAATTGAGACCCTTGACACGTAAAATCACATGATTGCTTCCCTATATAATCAGACTTCTTTAGATTGCAAAGATCTGTGAATCGAGGCTCGTAATGTCCGTGTTCTCTATAAAATCAGACTCTCTGACATGCCACCTCGAACATGAGCAGATCATTCTAGCTTTTCAAAAATGTTCATTTTGTGATGGTATCATCATCGATGTTGTAGAGGAAATACCAAGGGGTATGTAAAAGGGTTATGTAGAAAGTAAAGGCAATTCAGAATTGCATCCTGCCAACCTGCAATTTCAACCTCTCTTTTTTTGACTCAACATAGACCATGAAGGTGTCTATGTGTCTGCACGATCATCACTATCAAAAAATGTCTCTCTGGTCACTTCTGGCACCTCGCACTGCTTGCGCTGCTCTTGGACCTCTGTCTGTACACCTGAGCAGGAGCAGGTCAAATGCTGGTGGCCCTGACGTTCCGTCGCTGGACCTGTTCTTTCATTTTGCTCCTTGATCCGGGCCATGGGGCTTGACTTCTTGTGAAGATGGATTGCCAATCGATTAGTCTTCCTCAACTGTATGCCTCGCATAGGCTAAGCGGCTATACGGGGGGTCAGTCGACTGCACAAGGGATTTGAGCGATCAATAAAAGGAGCATTCGTCGACTTCGTGTAAATCAAACGCCTCTCCGCCTGATGACGTCGGTCTTCGCCGGCCGGTCCGGCCGGTCACCTCTCGGTTCCCGTGCGGTCCAACTGTTGAGAGAGACCGGAGACGAGCTCCTCCGCCTCATCCTGGTGTCGTCTCAGATCTCCCGTGATTCTTGCACAATCTATAAGGTCCGGGTTCTGTCATCGTTCAGCTTTGAACTCAGATACTGTAGTATTACATTATATTGTATTTTATTATACCATGTTATACGTATACATATATATATATATGTGTATTTAAATATATACATATGTGTAGAAAATTACTCCAGCATTAGACCCCAGATAGCAAAAGCATGCAAAAGATTTTTCTCGGCTGCACCCTGCATTGGCAGCAACTCCAATTTTTACATGCAATACAGCGTGGCGTGTCTCCACTACGCGCACAGCCAGCGCCAGCACCCGGCACCAGCACCCAATCTGCACCACGCACACAATGAGCACCAACAACCCGGCGGCACCCTGTGTCCGCCACGCGCACAGCCAGCACCGGCACGCCAGCTCACAGCACCACACGCGCACAGCCAGCACCCAGCACCCTGTTTCCACCACGCGCGCAGCCAGCTGACAGCACCCAGCACGAGCACCCAGCACCCGCGCCCTGTTTGCACCACGGGCGCAGCCAGCTCACAGTCCACCACGCACACCCAGCACTCAGCAACGGCGCCCAGCATTGGCACCCTTTCTCCACCATGTGCACAGCAGGGGATTACAACGTACGATCTTGCGCGAAAAAGTTTATGCACACAAAAGTATGCGCGCAAACAGCAAAGCCCGTAAGTGTCATTGGCCCAAGGCCAAGCAGTATCCAGCGCCACTGTTGATTTTGTAGCATGCTTGAAGCAACGATTTGTAGAACCATTAGGCCAATATGATCTTGCGCGTACAAGTTTATGCGCGCTAAAGTATGCGCACAAACGGCAAAGACCAATGGTCGGTTGAGAGCCTGACGTTGCGCATACAACATTATACCTACAAAAGTATGCGCGGAAGCAGCACAGCCCTTGACACAGCTGTCGGCTAAAACAGAACCTGAAGAGGGTAAATACCCCACAGCGCCAATAGACAAAGAACGCTCAAGCGACAACACCGTATGATGTTGCGTGCATACAGCCAGCTCACAGCACCAGCACCAGCACCGGCACCCAGCACCCACCCAGCACCGGCACCCTGTCTCCAGCCAGCTCACAGCACGCACCCGGCACACAGCACCCGCACCCTGTCTCCACCACGTGCACAGCAAGCTCGCAGCACCAGCGCCCAGCACCCTGTCTCCACCACGCGCACAGCCAGCTCACAGCACCAGCCAGCTCACAGCACCAGCACCAGCACCCGGCACCAGCACCAGCAACATGTCTCGAAAGCGCGCACGGGCAACTCATTGTTTATTTGAAGTAAGAACCCCATAGCTTCGCTATCTGGGGAAATAGTTATATATGTTCCATACAAACAGTATCAAACAGTATAGATATATATATATATAGATATAGATTCTTTTGTTGACAGGTGCTTGGTGGAGGCTGCACAGTAGAACTCGGTCCAGCTGCTTCCGGAGCACGCGCCGCTCGGAGCTCGAGACTGCCTGGCGACGGCGGGAGATACGCAAGTCCAGGCTGTGGGGAGACCCTAAAAAGTCTGTGAAGGAGGTGGAGGAGGTGCGTTTCTGCTGGATTTGTCGGGATCGGAATGTGGGATTGTGCTGTTTCAAGTGGAAGGAGGGAAGATTCAGACATAGCAAGCTCAACCCCGAAGCAATCCCGTCCAAATGTCGCAAAGGACCTCTCTGCCAAACTCGCCAAACCTCTGCCAGGAACCGCAGGTGGCGCGGGTCGCACCATGATTCACCCCACATCACAAGCATTTCAAGGCGGCATGTCGAGAACATCCGATGCCCAACCTTTGAAAGGTCAGAAACTCTTTCGTTGCAACAGCAGTTGAGCATACGCTACAAGTCCAAGGGCCAAGTTCAAACAGGTCCGGCTGACCTCATTGTACTTGTTTTGCATGACCGGACCCAGTCAAATGAGGACCGCAAGACCTGTAGGGATATATGAGCCATCTTGCGAGGAGTTTTCTCTATGGCCAACCACTGAAATCTGGCCGTCGCCTCTCTGGCAGTTGCAGCTTCCAAGAGCTGTTCCAAACGGTCGGCGCGCTCCTTGAGCGGGCGCCGACCCATGAGTCATGTGGTTGCTGCAAAAGGGAGGCGTTGATCCGGAGGAGTCCATTTAAAGGTGGATTCTATAGCAACCTCTAAGATCCCAATGATCTTCCTAAAAATGGATCTTAGAGGTGTGAGAAGCGAACATGCCAAGAACCCACGAGTCTGTTTGAAAAGACTCTAGCCGCATCTAGCCCTCTTGTTCTATTGAATTGGTTGGGATGTAGTAAACCTCCCGCTCCGGGGATTCGCGTTGTGAAAACGGAAGAACCTCTGGCACACGAGCGTCGACTGGGCGTAGACCTCAATGTCGTGAGCTCTCGGCTTTTGGGAGAAGAGTGTCTGCCCCAAGAATGCTTGGGCCCTCCATGGCAGGGGTCCGGACCCTCAAAACCCTATAATATATATATATATATATTTGAGGGCCCGGATTCTTAGGGTGCTGAGAATCTGTCGGGAATGTCTCGGACCCAACACTGGTCATTGATGGTTCATAGATTCTTTCATAGACGTGTCTCGGGAGCAAACAGCATGACCCCGGGACACTGTCAGCCTTTTCGAGCTTTTTCGAGCCTGGCATCCATTGAAGCAAAAAGAAACGCCACCCTTCACTCCACAAAGGTGTCTTTTTTCTCCGCGCGCGAACATTGATCGTTCACAAGAAGCTGTACCCAGCCAGCATTCGTCTGTCTGGCGAGCCGGAACGCAGAGACAGAGCCACTTCCGCAGGGCACGGAACATACATCGTCAAGCCGGCCATGCGTGTGGTTAAGCCTTCCTGCCAGCTGCCTTTCTTCATCACCTCGCAAAGCACTCGCCGAGGGTTTCCCACACACTCCACATGGGACTGGCACACAGGATGCTTGACCATCTCAAACTCGCCTTCTTCTGGAAGAGTCATGACACGAGGCATGCAATCTTCTTCCCCAGGCAGCCCGCATTTGGAAAAGCACTTCTCGCCCTCATAGAGGACTCCAGGCCGTAGATCTTCACATAATGGTACCTGCTCCCTGTTCGCCACTTCATATCCAAATCGTTTTCTTTCTTTCATCTCTGGTGGGTACCACTTCCCATACTGATGAAAGCTTGTAAAGCTCTGTTTACCTGGCAGCGTTTTGGCCAGAAGAGTGTGATCGGCACCGACATTCACACTTCCACCGTGAGGATGGAGATCGGCAAAATTCACCAGTTCTCCACAGAATCGCGCTCGTGGCATTGCACCACGGCCACGGCTGGCGTCACCTGGGATGGACCACACTGCTATCCCTGTCGGTGCCCATGACGAAATCGGCACCCCTGGTACGGAGCCGTCACGCTTGAGCCGAGTGCGGAAGATCCCGATTGACCTTGGAGATGCGCCGGCTGCGTGGATTGACTGGATTGACCGGAGAATCCAACAAGAGAAACCAATGGCAGGGACCCGTGGGAAGTGCAAATTGGCTGGGTTGCTCCCAGCCTGCAGTGGATGAACATGGAATCATTACCCAAAGCCTTTGGATGGAAGTTCTATTCACCTAGCATTTGTGTGTGTGCTGCATGGCATCTAGGTATGGTTCGCCTTTCTGAAGAGGACACCCCAATCACAGAGTGTCCAGGTCAATCGATTTGTCTAAATTTTGCAAGGTCTTTAAAGGAAGCGTTCTCATTTTGCGCAGCTCATTGGGTCAACACGAAAAAAATAAAGTGCAAATGCTCACGTCGCACCTTTACTTTTGGAAACCCTCCACACACACGTCCCTCACGCAGCGTGACTGTGTCCGTCGCGCCTCTGCAGCTTTCAAGGCAGCTGAGGAGGACTCGGGGTAGCCGCTCTGCCCCTGAAACAACTCGTCCAAACCAGCCGAATTTTAGGGTGGAACATTCCATGCTCAGGATCATGTTGGTTGACTTCTAAACTCTCCAGAGGGGGAACAGCGTTTTGGTGTGTATCGGAAATTCGTACATGGCAACTGTAAGCTTGTGCATGAACCATGTTGCCACATCACGTTTGGGCATGTCCAACCCTACAGAAGAGCAGGTTGACAGGATAATAAAGGAACCTGCAGTACCTTCACCACAAGAAAAGTTCCAGTCAGAGAAACAAGGGCAAAAGGTCTTCGCCATGTGTTCTCTTCGAAGAGTCTGTGTAATGATATGATAGATACTTTTGGATATTTGAGATACTTTTTGGATCTTTTTGGTGTACCTTCATTTGCTTATTGAACACGTGTTGCTTGATTAACTCGTCACCTTTGCAAGAACACCTTGGAACACCCGGCGATACTCCTGGCCTTGCCCGGTGACCCCGGGGGCCCCTCGGTCTTCGCCGGCGGCCCCTCGGTCTTCTTGGCCTGGCCGTCGAAGACACGGCGGTTGACACGGTGGGGTGGATCCTTCCCTGGTACGATTGACCAAAAGGTGGCCCCAGGAATTGATCGCTGCAGTTCCAAACAAGTCTATTAGATCTATTAGGGACTTGTAGGAAGTGGTGCACGGGATGGTAGAGGGACCATTCTGTTGTTTACAGTGAAACGCACCTCCCGAGTTGCTGCCACCATGGCTGACGTCGCGGCCCAGGGTGACCCAACACACGACCCAACACACGGCCCAGGGCCTGCACTGCTCCAGTAGGGGGCTGTCCCACTGGCCTGGGCAGCTTAGAGGACACAAAGGAAACACCCCAGGACACAAAGGGAAAAGTCGTTGACGCAAGCTCTTGATTCAAGAGTCAAGTTCCCCATACGAAGTAGTCTACAAGGGTCAGGTGGTCGTACCAGTTACCTACGGCGGGTGACCCCTTATGAGGTGGTCGGGGCAATTGATCGGTTTCACGATGGTTCGCTCGAAGAGTGTTTTCATGCGGCCGAAAGGTGGACGAGATGTTCTTCAGGACCTCACCTGCAATGCGTAGCGTGCGTAGCGTGTCTCCGTGTCTGCGTAGCGAAGGGTGGAAGAAGACCCGACTCGACCCTTCCGCTTCCTCGTGTGGTCCCTACGCGGAGGAGTCGACCGCGTGCTGTCGACCCAAGTGGTTCGATCCAAAGTCCTGCCGATTGAAACCGTTGCTTTCGTCAAGTAGGTCATGGACTTTAAGTGGCCTTTCCTGCACGGCCCTGATTGACTACATGAAAGGCACCGGCTTTGCCAAGTTAGGCCAAAGCAAGGAGAAATATGAGGCCGTGTGTGTGTGTGTGTGCGCCCTACACGAGGCCGATGGATTTCAATAGTATTGTTAAAATCAAGGTTGTCGCACTTCCGCATGCCTCCCGCGGCTGTTTGAGAGACCCGGTTGAAAAGATTTGAGTGGTCGACCAGCTGCTGAAGAAATCTGATGCTGAGAGATGAAGGCTGGGCCCTGGCCACCTGCTGAGTCATGTTGCGGAACAAGAATGCTGGGCCCCACCAGCTGTTGAACTTGCCATATGAGTGAACACACACATGAGACCACACACGTGAGTGCACATGCGAGAGCACACACATGAGAGCACACAAATGAGCACACATGAAAGCACACATATGTGAGCAAACACGTGAGAGCACACATCTGGACCACAGGCAAAAGTGAGCGGACATACAAAAGCACACACAAGGAGCATGCCTGTGAGAACACAGATGAGAACGCACATATATGCGAGAGCACATAAAAGAACCCACACAAAAAATAAAAATAGAACATATAAAAAAGCAAAATAAACAATGCGCACAGTATCACGGTGAGAGCGCAGTCGAGGAAAGCACCCGCTCGATTGTGCGCGAGCCTGCGCAGTCCACATGCACTTCACCTTCGAAGCTTCTCGAGGGGCATGACATGAATGCAATGTAAATAGCAGCGAAATAGCCGCCCACGCCGGTGATCACCCTCGATCCAACCCGGCCTCTATTGCCGTTAAAAAATCTAGCGGTCTGCTGGGTCATCGCCGCCAAATCGTCTGAAGAATGGAGAAATGAGTGCAACTACCCAACATCCCATACTGGCGCCCCGAAATGAAGGATCATCGACATCGCCGTCGCAAACAAACATGGTTCCGTGGAGTTCACCACCGGTTTGTAGAGGATTTGATGGTCTTTCCAGGGGCCATCGTCCACTTCCACTTCGTGTTGGGAGGGTAACTGTTTAAGAGGAGACCGGATGTTTGCTTCTCGTCCCCAGTGTCATGTTTCCTCCATCCCGAAAGCGTGAAAGCATGTTCTTCGCGCTCTTGGAGAATGTCGAAAGTTCCAATTTCGAGCGGATGACGACCCATCCCTTGACAAAGCTATTGAGAACCGGTCCTGATTTCTCTTGATTGTCCTTTCCAACTTGCGGCCCCGACAACTTCTCCAGCTTCCCGGTCGCTGAGCTACTCGAGCTACTCGCCTGACCCCAGGCATAAAAGCATCAAAAATTGGGGCAGGTTGGCCCCCAACCTTTGAAGAAGATACTGTTGGGCCAAAAGAAGATACTGTCTGGCAACTTGTCTGGCCACTGCACACTTAGTCACTGGGTTTGCTTTGATTTCGGCTAAGTCCTGTGCTGGAACACCATCGAAGAGAGATTGCTCCACCTGGCAAAAGAAAACAGGACGAGGATGACATGCCACAAAGACAAAGGATATTTGTCTGAAGGCAGTGAAGACATATGAAGACTGCTCTTTGCCAGGATGGAATCGTCACATGCGTGTTGATGGTTTTTTAATACAGTCTCAGAGACAAAAGCAAAAAGAAGGACCGGGCACTGATTGCGCTGCAGCTGGTAGTACTGACAAACATTCAAACATCTACACTCCCTGAAATCATTATGGAAGTGGAAAATGGCCTCTTGTATGAGCATTTTCCTCTACAAACAGGTGATGAACTCCACTTCCATGTTAACCTACCCAGAAAGGGGACACTCCATGGCGAACCACTTGCTACTGGCTGGAAAACACGAAACATCAATCATCCGACCTGAACATGTTGAAGACATGCTCGGCAATCGTTGGTCATGCTCTCGAAATAAATGAAAGACCAAAAACATGGGACGCACCGATGCCGAAGAGTCTTTCATGAAGTTGAGCCGCACCGATGCCGAGAACAGGTACGTGCAACTGCTCCAGGGACGACCCAGTCCATCAAACACTCAGTTGCAGATTGCTAACCAAACTCCAAAGGAAATAGTTTGGTGGATACGCATTACAATTGGAGTACTGGTGGTACTGGTGGTACTGTACACTCCACTGGTCACGGCAGAGGAACGCCAGAGAATGGAAACCTTGCTGTCGAAGGGGTTCTCTAAACCATCTCGGAACTGAAGACTCAGTCAGAACGTAATCACCTTAAAGTTCTCAGTTGTTGTTCCCGCTCCAATAAGCTATTCGAGACCTCTCCCTTGTTCCACGTCTCACGGAACGCCGAACTGCGCTCCAATCAACCCCCCCGTCGGATGGACCCGGAGCAGGGCGCAGCGATAGTGATAGGTCCATCGATGGACCCACGGACAAAGGGCTCAACATCCACCAAAGACGTCCCACGTCATCCCAAGACAGGTCAACCCCAATGACCCAATGAGCACTACCTCACTTCGTGCCTCGCTCCACCTTTGAACGCAAGTGAAGAAATTAAGCTTTAAAAAAGAGGGCTCAAATCTGCCCCCCCCGACCCCCCGCGGTGTTGCCGCCCAACGAACCACCCAGTTTCACCCAGTTCCACGTCTGCTTGGTGTCCCCAGTTCCACCGCACCTTCTGCAGGGTCTTGTCCACCTGTCTCTGGAGCTTCTCGAAGAAACCCATGGAGGATCGCGACGAAGAGCTTCCCGTCGCAGGAGCGCCCTCCTGCAGTAGAAACAGATCCAGCGGAGCAGAAACAGATCCAGCTGATTCATCCAGTCCTCGACATTCAAATGTGGAAATTCCTGGAAATTGATTGATTGAGTCTATCCTCTTACCAGAACCCAGTGGATGATGATGGTAGAGGCCTGTCAACAAAATAGTGATAATTGTTTGCTGACTTTTACAGGTAATGGGACAGACCCACAAATGATTGAACTGATGCTGGGGCTTGTGGGTGGGATGGGATGGGAAATTGGCCCCGATTTCGACCATGAAATCGACTCTCAATAGGTGGTAGAAATGTAGAACGAAAAAAAGAGGAATCTCCGGATCAACCGTGGTGTCCGCAAGACTTTTTCGGCGCTTCCGTCGTTTGGGGGAATGGTGGTCGGAAGCTGGCCAACTTTCGACTGTTCCCTACAAGTCCAAGGGCCGTTAAGTACTGGTTTTGCATGACCGGACCCAGTCAAATGAGGTGCGCAAGACCTGTAGGGATTACGTTAGAAGAGGAACCTGCGAACCGACGACTCGACGACCCAACAAAAAACTGTCCAATCCAGGAGACGACCTGAAGACTGTGGGTGTCCCCACATGGGGTATTCACCGTCTTTCATGGTGCCAAAACACGACCCATGGGACTGCCAGTCCGGACTGCCTTCAAAACGGCCGTTCGGGGTGGTGCCAGGGGGTCAATGTATGCATATATGGCAGTCCCATGGGTCGTGTCTGGGGTGGAAGAATAAGAACTCCAAACATTGGGTGAGGGAGATCTGATGCTGAAAAAACACGATATACTGGTCTGAAACAAAGGGCACGAGCCCACTGTAGCCCACACACCATATACACCCAACTGACCTGCCACCGTTTTTGGGCCCAGCCCAGCCTCACTCTTCTTGCTTTTGGACGTGCTGCTGTCAGGGTTGCCCTGCCAAACACCAAGCTGAGACAAATGGTTCAAAACTGCTGGAAGCCCAGGGTAATCCTGAACCAACACTCGCAAAAAAGAAACCGCTGTGCTTTGTTCCAGTCGATTCGTGGAAGGAGCTTGGAGTGGTGAACAGCCGGGACGTTGCGGCAGGGACTGCGCCTGCAATCCGTCGATGTACAGGGCCTTAGAAGACGCTTGGAAAAGCCAAGAGATCCTGCCCCATGCATGAAGCGTACGTCAGTGAACTCTGCAGAGGTCAACGGGAGAGCCAGCTTTAGAACGGATCAAATGGGGTAAAGGTGGTGGTGAATTCATGCCCCAAGTGTTCCCAAAAGCATCCCAAAACAAAGTGCACTGCCTGAATTTCTCATGAAGTGGAAAATGGCCGTTTGGATGACTATTTCCCTCTGCAAACAGGTGGTGAACTTCACTTCCATGCTAGTGACTAGTGGCTCGGAGGGTAGATTTCATCACTGAAAAATCTCCTGTGTTCAGAAACATGGCTTCGTGTTTCTGTTCGCTTGTGTGCAGATGTCCCGCTTCAAAAACGTTGATCCCTGAAACTAGGGATGTGGCGGCAAGCTCCGAAAAGGTGTCAGCCACTGGTTCGTTCAATAAGACGATCGCAATTTGAAGTCCGGTTTTTTTCTGTGTGTAAGCCACTTGAGCTGCCAAGACGATCCACCCCAGTCTTTGGATCCAAATTGGGGGAAGAAAGCACCAGGACAGCACAAATCAGTCATGGATTCGAGATCCACAATACTCTGCCATGACCACACACGCGCAGAGAAAGAGGACGGTCAGTGCAACAACGGCTGGAATTGCAACGCGTCTCATCAGATCATTCTTGACCGGCCAACCAACATTGTGAAAAACATTGAAAAACACCATCTCTAGAATTCTCAGGACTATGCCAACTCCAAAGTCAACTCTGGAGTTGACTCATTGAAAAACTCTTGAAACACCAGCTTGATTCTTCTCATTCCACCATAGTCCACTCATTCTTCCAGTCGGTCATCCCATGCTGTTCGACTTCTCTCGATCTCCTCACCCGTCGCCCCGCCGGGTCGGACCCGCCGTGGGCGACGCGGCCGCGCAGGCGGACGCCGACTCGCGGCTGATGACCACCTGGGCGGATCCGTGAGGACCGGTGCCCGGTGCCACGTTGAATCAACGGTGCCACGTTCAAAAAGAACAGAAGTGAATGGCAGTAAAGTCCGAAAAGAGAAAAAAAGGTATGAAGCAGTAGTCATGGTCTTATGAGATTGTTCTTCCTTGATTGGCCAAGAAGAGCCTTTTCTTCCCCCTACATCCCAATTGGAGCCTCCCAACCTTCTACCCAATGCCCAACCATTTGCTCGCCCATCCTCCCAACCGCCCCTCCGAGCAACGGAGATCCCACAGCTGTAGCACTTGAAGACGTCGAGGCCAAAGGGCACCTCGGACAGACGTCCGTCACACAACGACCGAAGAAGCATCACTGGGACACTGGAGAATTCACAATGGCGGTTCAATACATGTCACCACACCTATTGTCTCAGACGATTTCGGGATCACGATGTCAGAGACGACCCCCTGGTGTTCGGGAACGATGCCATCGAAACGTTATCGTGCGATGCCCGACCCGGGGTGCCGTGTGCCGTTCAAAAGACCGCACGGTGCGATACCCTCAGTCCTTGGTCATGGTGAATTGGGGAAGACTCCATTGGTCACGCCCCTTCTGGCCGCAAGAAGCGGCCTTTGTGCACAAACTTGACTCCTGGAAAGACGTCTATTTAATAGTCATTTAAAAATAACGTGAGGGATTGGTGCATGAGAGCTCCAAGAAAGATCGAGGATCCGGAAAATCTTTTGAAAGTTGATCAACCTGGCAATTCAACTCATCTTCAATCTTAAGTGCCCGGTCATTCATCAACTTTATGTAAGTAACAACTTGCTGAGGCCAAACATCTTGCAACAGCTCCCAAGAGAGAATCTCAAGAGACCCCTCCGTAACTTTAAAGTTTGAAGGGCATCATTATGCAAAGAAATGAACGTGCTTTTAAGTGTTTTTTGTACTTTTGTTGAGATTCCAGCCATCGCCACAGCCTGCCAAGCAGCACCGCTGGCAGTGACTTTGGTGGAAAAGGGCATCGGGTAATGCATGAAACCCAAACGGTTTCGAGGACTTTTCAAACACCTTTGGCCAAGCGAGATGCAAGATCTCCGCTGTTTCACGACCTAGCCACTACCCGGTCCGCAGCCCCCCAGTTTGGCGCCATCCCGCTCGTACCGAAAAAAGAGAGCGCTCACCTAGCGCCCATTCCCCACCAGGCCGCACGGAAGAAACTACTCAAAACGTAACTCAAACCAAGTCCACTCATTCCATCCACCTCCTCTGCCCCACCCCTCCACACACCGCCCGCATCATACCGCCACCGGACCTGCCCCCGCGTTCGAGAGAACGGAGAAGCGCGGGAGGCCCGGGCACACACAGGCTCGTCCAAGCGGCGGAGTTCACCGTGGCGCATTTCCCACAGCTCACCAACTCTTTGGGCTCCCTCAGTGCACCGGGCGTCACCCGCGCGTTCGCGCGAAGAGGACGCGAAGAGGCGAGCGAGGCTTAAAATGGAGATCGCAGGGACACCTTTCGGGATGTGTGGCGGGGTGCTTCCCTTGGTTTTGGAGACAAGTTGGGTGAGATAGCACCAGGTGTCCCTTTTTGTTGGGGGAAATGAACTGTCTTATTCGAGTTCGGATGAGTTTTGTGGAGTTGAAGGTGGTTAAGTCCTTATGCAAAGAGTGCGGATTCTGTCTTTGGACTTGGCTTTCTCCCACTACCAGTGACAGTGGTGATGCTTGGTACAGGCCTTTCCCCCACAATCTTGGGTGGAACACACCCTACCTTCTTGAACAACCTTTGCCACGGGCGAAGTAGTGGTTATCAGCTGCGAAGGGTTTGAGGCAGCTCCGTCCGAAAAGGCACCATGTGATCATCGAAGCTCGGACGGATCCAGGGGTTATTGATTGGACTGTCCCGCCCTACGGAAGTCTTGACCATCTCTCATGTCCTTTGAATGCATGCGCTGCATGCTTCTATCTACTTCTCCTGTTCAGTCCAACTCAGGCAGGATGAGGTTGAAGCCTATCCAGTCAGTGAAGGCATTATTCCCAATCGTCCCTCTTGGTATGAATTGCGGCTCCAACTTTGCCACGGGTACTTGGATGGCCACAATGTCTTCAGCGGAATTGAAATGGTGGTCCCAAACACACAGAAACAAGTTCAGCAAGGTCTTCCACTTTTCTGTTTTTTGAGGGAACTACTCTTCTTGCAAGCTTCTGAAGGGAGCATTCACAAACATTCTGTTTGGTACCGCTGGGGCGCGGCTCAACCGGAGAAATGGAACCGCTTTCACCGTGGAAGTGGTTTTCGGAGATCCTCAGATGCGACCACCGTGTTGTCTCACACGTCGACGTGTCATGATGGTCTGACTTGATTCGCTCGAAGTCTGACTTGGGTCGGATCTGGCAGAAGCTTCACTGCGGGAGGAACGCTTTTGGGAAGGAACCTCCGAGGTGTGAATTTTCGGGCTCCGAAACAAGATGAATCTCTTCCTACTAGTAGCAAGGACCATCGCTACTAGTAACACATCGCTACGAACAGGGCTCCTGGCCTTACTACGAACGGAGCTATCGGACGCTACGGGGCTCCTGGCATCGCTGCGAGTCCGGAGCATTCGTCTCTGAGCCCCCACGCTCGGCCATGGCGGACGGGGCAGTGCACACCACTCAACGAACGGGGCACACCACGAACGGGGCGCACGCGCCCCGGTGTGCCAAAGAGGCACTTAAAAAAAAAACCTTATAGTGCTGAAGATCAGTAGGTGATGAATCATGATGAACTGCTTCTAGACTGGAAGGATTGATGTTGTCGTTTGATGTTGTCAGGCGTTTTGCCCTCTTTGTAATCTCCAACCCCTTCAGCATCTCAGCTGCTCTTGACCTGCCAAGTCTCTTACCCAGACAAGGGGAAAGGTGAGAAATAGTTCTGAAAGCCAGTCTTAGCCCTTGGAGAAATTCACCTCACTCTTTGAAGCAGTCGGTCATTCAGTGCGTTTCAAAGAAGCAGGCTGCCTAGCCCGAGAGCTGAGAGATGCCCAGAGGCTGCGGTCACGAGGCGGATGTTCTGGTCACGACTGTTTCGTCCAAGCTCCAGGACTCAAAAAAAGATTGGAGAAACCAGAAACCGATGGGGGAAGAATATGGAATTCAGGGTTAGGACTTAGGACCAAGTGCTACATCTGGCCATTCGTTTGCTCCTTCAGGAGGAAAAGGCACACCTGGCCATCCCGTGTCAAGAAGCACCATGCGCGGCTCACCCGTTTTTATGTTCGGTCATGCAGAACTTGCCTTTGGCAAGAAACCACGCGTGACCAGCTAGTGTCGTCATCTTGAGGATCTGAAACACACATTAAATTCACTTGCTTCCACCCAAATAACTCCCTTGGACTCCCTTCCCTTATCATGGACCCCTCCACCAAAGGAAAGCTAAAATGAATTGATGCTGTTGTTTAATGATGTGTACGTATTGTCTAAATGAATCGATTCAGCACGCGTAGGTGGGGTTTCTGTAGATCGGGAAGGAATTGCTCCGCAGAGCGCGATGACGAGACTGAAAGATCGATTCACAAGCGTGGGGCCTTCAATTGAAATGTCCCTGCTTCTTTTGAAGCCAGAACTCCCAGACCACAAAAAGAAACAAAATGTTCACGAAACCTGGAGACACATCACTTTTGTGATGCGATTCACCCAAAGAGTAGTGCCAGCAGCGCTAAGCCCACAGCAGTCAGCGTTCCGCAGCGGCAAGCACCGCAAATGTCGAGGTAAGGCGTTGAGAGTTCCGCCCTGCAGCCCTGAGCCGTGCACTCCTGGGAGCCGCTGACAGCGGAGCCGCTGAGAGCGTCGTTCATTGCTGTTCGCTCGCTGCATGTCGAAAACGCGAAAATTGGACCACTTGTTCATCCAAAGTGCCTTAAACGTTTAACTCTTAAACTGCCAACAAGAGCTGGTCTAGGAAAAACAAACGCAGTCGCCAACATAGATAGACGGGAAGAAAAGAACAAGGGACATCAAAAAGTACAAGACCTACAAGACTCAGGTAGGAAAGAATGTCGTTCTTCCTGGAGCTCGCAGAAAAGCACAGCTCCAAGAAAAAATCCTATGACAAATGTTGATGGACCAACAAGAGATGCTGACCAATGCTGGTCTCCGGCCAAAAAAAATGCAAAAAAAGAATTGCATCGACTCAATTGACCACAGCCAATGACTCAATTGACCGCAGCAGCCTTTGTCTTCGCAGAAAAAAAGAAACTATTTGCATTGTGAAACCCCACCAAAGCCTCAAAGCAAAACAAACAACAGTACTAACACAATCATGCTCCAGCAACCAGTTTCACCCGGGTCCCTACCATCTTGGGTTTCTCACTCTCGTCCATGTGTTCCACGCGAGCGAGGAAGGTTCTCTCCGAGCGTCGATGGTGGTGACCGCCCGGGAAATCTCAAACTGCATCACTGCAGGGTCGAAGGCCATCGACATGTCTCCGCCTTCAGCTGAGGAAGGAGACAAAAGGGTGAACTGTTCAGCGAGGAACATATGATTCCTTCTTTGCCAGCGATCGCGCACCCAAAGCTTACATGGTGGGCGCTTCTTGGTACAACCACAAAAATGGGCGTCCAAGGAAGATCACGGAAGTCTGGGAACCGTGGTAGAGACGAATCCATCATGAGAAAGGGCCCAAATCCAACTGTCCCACGCCTGACCATGGCATGTCGATCCTCCAGTCGAGTCGAGGCTTGTAAAAACTTGAACCAAATCTGTGCTATTTTGAGTTTTTTGCTCGTGATCAAGAGCTCCCATCGATTCGATCCGGACCAGGTGCCTTTCCGCTGGATGTTGAATGAGATTCCGTGCTATTTGCTCAGCCCAACTCTGAACAAACATGGCAGCCAAATGAACACGCCAAGAGTTGGAGACTGCCGTTCGCTCGCTCCAGCTGCTCTCGGGTGTCGGCCGGCAGCTTCGCTCTGTGGAACCACCCGTTCACCGATTCGACCGGTCGACCTGTATGGGGCTCCAAACCCAAGGCTTGGTTGACCTAACCAAGGCCCCCCTGTTTTGATACCATGTGAGCTGTGATCTGACAACAACTCACCAGGTCATGTCGTTCCGAACCTCGTTCCGAAGCTCGGGTGACGCCCCACGTTCGCCCCAGGGAAAAGCAAGGTAGGACAGCCACGGCACATTCGATGCGCAGGTTGCCCACACTCCAGGGGTCAGTGTCGCCACCCTGCACGATGACGATCCGCGCCACTTGCGTGAGGGTCCCCAAGTCCAGATCGACTTGTTGGCTTCCGATCCTGTCGCAGCACCAGGATCGAAAGGATCGGCATCACTCACATCGCAGGGCTGGTTAGCTGGGAAAGGAACAATTGCAGGGATGGTGGAGGAATGCTTCAGGATGCGATTGCTAAGACGTCCCAAAAGAGGACGGCGACAAAGGACATGTTTCAGCTGGTGGTTGCGTACCCAGGGCGGCATCATGGCACCCCGCCAAGAAACAAATGAAATGCAATCGTTTTTATGCGCAGTCTACACCCCTCTCCCAGCGGCTCCCCACGGGTGAGCGGTCTGTGTAGATGTCAATGTGTGGTGCGGGGAGCGGTCTGGTGAAATCCGCACGTACCTTGCCGCCCCAGTTCAGCGCAGTCGCGGAGCGGATCCGGTGGAGGTTCGAACATTCGGTGCTTTCGCTCCAACGGGATGGACGTACCGAGCAGGCAAGGCTGCCGAGAGCAGGCGAGGCAAAGGGCGAAGAACGGAGACTGGACACAAAAAAGACACACAATGATCATCATTCCCACCATTCCCCACAAATCAAAGGAAGTGAATGAGAATGCACCTCATTTGGAACCGTTGTTCGCAGAATACTTAGAGTCCACGGAATCCATCAGAGCTTTCGTGCACGTCTTAGCAGCTCGAAGTGTTTGCTGCATGTCTTAGCGTCCCTTTGCATGCGAGTATGAGTATGGATTGTGCAAAACTCCTGTCGATTCAGAGGGAGAAGTATCCGGTATGGTGGGCGAGATTACGAATGAGAGTGAGGTTACGTCGCGTGTCTCTTTTGGTGAGAAAGTGGAGAAAAAACGGTTGGTCGGTGCTGTTTTCCTGCCAAGCTGAATTCCAACCCACCCTGCACATGACGTTGCTCTTCCAGTTAGATCTCCGCTGTATGTTTTGGTTTTATCGTGATCTCGTGATCCAACTCAACTCATCTCAGAAACTGCAGCTCAGTTCGACTATTGCAGCTCAGTGACTTCGAGTCATCCCAGCAGGAACAGCCCAGCCCAATCTCGGTCCGTTTCCGATCGCCGTCCAACGGAGAGCGAGATCGGAAGACGAGGGGGTTTGTTTGGGGATGAAGCGGTTCGTTTGGTTTTTCATTTTGGGGGATCGACCACACTGTTCAAAAGAATGAAGTGGGTCTAAGACGGTGGACTGTTTCAAAAGAATGAAATTGGCCACCGTGGCCACCTCCATGGAAGTTGAGTCAATGACTTACATAGCCTTTCAAGCCGTGTAATTAAGCGCACTGCCCGAACTGGGCCATGGCCGACTTGCGTTCGCGAAACCACCGAAACCTCCGTGTTCGACCAATCGGAACCATCGGGGTCAGACCTCACCCTGCAGGGGGCCACCCTTATCCAGTGAGAGATCGAAGCTGTGGAGTCGATGAACTGCGACCTGTGGGGCCGTTCGGGTCTGAAAATGAAGCAAAGTCTCAAACGGGGGGGGCGCTACAGTCTCAAAGTGGAACACAACAGCCTCAAAGGACTCTCTACCCCATCTACCCCGCTGGAAGTGAGAAGATTTGACATCATCCCTCACTCGATAGGAAATGCGGTTCCTTTCCAGACCAAGACACTGCACAAAATATGGTCAAGGAGACCTCCCTCTTCACTGCTCTTCAAATGCCTCCCTCGAACTCTAGACTCTAGACATCACGAGTTGAGAGAGAGAGAGAGAGAGAGTTTCTTTCCCATCTTTCTGATCTTTCGGCTTTTTGGCAGCAACAAAGGCGTCAAAACCTGCCAACAGCCGACCCGCTTCTTCCCCGGTCCTCGCAGTTTGAGGAAATCCTACGATATCCTTCAACCAAACTCTCTACCATTGGCCCCTACCAATTTGATCAATCCTACTTCCCAAATGAAGAGGTTTCTCAATCCAGTTAGAGGGGGCTTATTGATCAAGAGTCGACATCAATCCATGCCCAAAGCCGCCCCAAAGCCTCACCACTCGGACTCCAAAGCCTGCGGCCGCGTGGCATCCCAATCGCCCGCATGAAAGCTGCTCCGGTCCCCATCGACCACGTTGCTGACGGGGTGGTCGTCGCTCACCCCGGTCATGGTCGATGCAGAGGGCGCCAGCCGCGCACCGGTGCTATCGGTGAGCTCCACCTGCACGTGCTGGGCGGCGGGTCCCAGACCGGCTGGGTGAATGCGAAACCAAAGTGCCAGCAAACACTGTTTTTGGAGCACATCCATCTCAAAGTGGGAGGTGCTAAAAAGGTGGAGGTTCGGTCGAGTTCATTGCTTGACCACTTAACTGTAGAATGGGTGTTCCAGGATGTCGACAGACTCTCGGATCCGGTTCCAGGCCCAACCACCGGAGTACTTCAGTCCCTGATGAATCAAGCTGCTCACCTGCCACTGACCGGCCATGATCGGACGGGTCTCTGTGCGGTTCGCGTTCGGATTGGAGAGTCCGACTCCAAATGCCAAGGACGCTACTAG